ATTCCAATTTCTAGAATCGAATTCCGACCTCGATATCAAAAAGTTACCCCCGGGTCAAACTTTCCAAAAATTCAACTTTCGGCATTTTAAGCTTAATTCCACTACGGACCTCCAAATAATTATGAGGATACGCTTCTAAGTCCAAAATCACCATACGGAGCTATTGACATCATCAAAATTCGAATCCGAGGTCATTTACACATAAGTCAAATCTCCGGTCAATTATTTTTTCATTTAAGCTTCAAAAATGAGAATTGTTCTTTTAATTAAATTTTGAATCTTCCGAAAATCAAACTTGACCACACTCGCGGGTCATAATACATATTACGAAGCTGCTCGAGACCTTAAGTTACTGAACGAGGCGTAAATTCTTAAAACAACAAGTCGGGTCGCTACAGTTTTGGCTATTGCTGGTGCCTAGTGAATTCTTCTTCGCGATCGCGAAGATACTCCCACGAAGAGTAAATTGGGATGGGGATGGATTTACCCTACGCGTATGCGGGAATATGTGGATGCGAAGCTTTAGGGGGATCACTCTTCGCGAACGCGACCACCCACACGCGAACGCGAAGGTTTGTAGGATTCTAGGGGAGCTGGGCTGGTGTTCTACGCGAACGCGATCATTGGGTCGTGAACGCTATGGCCAGGACGGAAGAGCCATCGCGAATGCGAAGAACATCTCGCGAACACGAAGTTCATTTGGACCGCAGTACTTCGCGATCGCGTCAGGTCCTTCGCGAACACGAAGTGACTAGACGCCAGTGATTTAAAAAGTCCCAAACACGTGATTTCATCCATTTTCACTATCTTCTCATTAAAGCTCGGCCTAGAGGCGATTTTGAAGAGAAATTTTATCACCATTTCATAAGTTAGTGTACTTTAACTCGTTTTCTTCCACTTTNTAAAATTGAGATTTAGACCTCAAATTGAGGTCGAATTTTGAAACTAATCACATAATCGGGCTCGAGGGCAAATGAATAATTTGGTTTTGGTCCGAATGTTGGGTTTTGACCAAGCGGTCCCGCGGTTAACTTTTATTGACTTTTTAGAAAAATTATAAAGATCTTAACTTTATGTATTATAATTGATTTCCTAGCATTGTTTGATGTTGCTGAGTCGATTTTGGTTAGATTCAATTAGTTTGGAGGTTGATTTTAGAGTAAAGGTCCCAATTAAGCTTTGATTTGCTTGCGGAGCGCGGTAAGTATTGGGTCTAACCTTGATTTGAGGGAATAGGAACCCTTGAGCTATGTGTTATATGAATTACATGTGTACCGGCGTATATGTGAGGTGATAAGTGTATATATCTCGTCAAAATAATTGTTTCCATGCTTTCCCGTATTCCATTAATTATTTTATTCCATGTCTTAACTGTTACATACTTAAATTGCTTTCTATGCTTTAACTTGCTACTTTGTCACTTATCATTCTCGTATTAAAATGTTAGTTTCTTCCATGCTTCCATGATTAATTGCTACCTGCCTTAATTGTCTTACTTGTACACTTTAACTATCATATATTTGGCGTGTCTTGTTACTTTGTATTAATTGTAGCATTTCTTGATTTGGTACAAAGTTCCTTATTGCTTTGTTTTCATATTCTTGGGTCATAGAAACTCTAGTGAATTGAGATGTTGAAGTGATCACATTTATTAATTTTGTTTATGGATCGGGTTGTACGCCGCAACGGGTGGATTAAGTGAGGATTAATATTGATATGGTGGGATCGGGTTGCATGCCGCAACGGATTTTATACGTGATTTTGATATGGTAAAATAAGGGAGGATTGTGATATTGATTCCGATTATATAGTGGGATCGGGTTGCGTGCCGCAACAGATTTGTGTTTTGTATTCATTGGTGCATTGTGATAGCTTTAGTGTTTTCATATGAGATTTTGAGGATTGATGTTTCTGGTTTTACTGATTTCGAGGATTGAGTTTATTTTCATAAATTATCTGCTTTACTTTTTTGTGTTCTTTTCCTGTTATTTTCATTATATTGTGTATAGGTTATTGTAAGTGACCCGCATTAGGCTCGTCACTATTTCGTCGAGGTTAGACTCGCATTTACAGAGTACATGGGGTCGGTTATACTCATACTACACTTTGCACTTCTTGTGAAGTTTTTGGAGTCAGTCCTAGCAGCGGTCAGTAGATTTCTCTAATTGATTGCCTGAAGTCCCCTTCTACCTTATTCTAGATGTTTATTTCATTTCATACAATTTTACTTTCATTCAGATCATTACTTGTATTATTCTAGTCGCTCGTGCCCTTGTGACACCATTTCTGGGATTGTATCTAGATACTGCAGTTATTATGATTTTTTCTCACTCTATTTCAGTTCTATTTCAATTTATTCAGTTTAATTGGTATCAGTTAATTTGATTTGCTAAAAATGGTTAAAAACTATTCTAACGTTGGCTTGCCTAACAAGTGAAATGTTAGGCGCCATCACGATCCCGAGGGTGAGAATTTCGGGTCGTGACACGTGCATCAGGCTGCCCATTCCGGGATTAGTAATTTGAGACTATTATCCCATACTAAGTGTGGTATAAAAGTTATATCCCAATTATGACATAAATCTCGAAATTGGTTATATCAAAATCAAATATTTAACTAGACATGTAATAAAATAATCCCCATATTCTATTTTGAGACTATTATCCTTTATCCTTGTAATCAAACTTACAGATCGACTAATGCTAACACATCAATATTTTGGTGTCAAATCATCATTTTGTAATTACGAAATTTTCAACAGGTAAAGATGATCTTATAATAAAATTAACACGGTGAATATCAGTTAAGCTCCGAAGAAGCAAGAAATAATGAAACACTAGTGCTTTCTAATCTAAGTGAGGAGGCAAGTATCAAGACTAATCAATAAAACGTTTTTCTTTTTTCCCTCCAACTACCATTTTTTAAAAAGTAATTCCTAATAGGCAAAACGAAAAATTCGATCAATATTGTTGTTAACGGTTAAATATTTTGATGACGACGCGGTTAACACAATTTGAAATCGTATAACGGTATAGAGCAGGCAAATGTTCAGTACAGTCTTACGTGAGGGACTGCTTTGAATGATTGAAAACCTAAATTAAATTACAATAAAAATATCTTATCTCTACTATGTCGATTTAAACTATTACTCTCTCTGTCCAAAAAAGATGATACTTTTCGGATTTCGAGAGTCAAACTTTTTAACTTTTGACCATAATTCTGTCATAAAATCTTTAAGTTTTTTTTTTAAGTAAAATTATATTTCGAAACTACATTAAAGTACTATAAGTCATAATAATTTACAATTCAAAATATTTAAAAGGTATATAAAAAATTTATGGTCGAAAACCAACTCGTTTGACTCTCGAAATTCGAAAAGTATTATCATTTTGGAAGGCATGGAGTATACAATTCACAGAGAGAATTTGCCGGTGAATCTTTTTCGTTAACGAAGCTATATAAAAATTGTCCTTCAACATTTGAGTAGTTTCCTGCGTTATGGCATTGCGAGATATACGGCTAGATCCCAAATATTGCCTTTAACGTAATCGCATGCTTTGATTCTTTTATTTGATAAACAATGCAGCTTTAAATTATTTTTATAATTATTATTACATTAATAGGTGAAGAGAAGACGCGTCTTGTTTAATTTTCACCTTCATTCACTTAAAAAATAGGGAAGCTTCCTTCATTAATGCTTCACTTAGCTTGTCATATGGATATTCAGCTAGATCCAAAATTTCCGGAATTTATTTTCATTTGTTTCTTCTATCTCTTATTCTATAATTATTTTCATTCTTCCAATAATTCGACCCTTGGCTGTAATACCAAAATCAAGTCGTTAATTATTCCTGTCGAGGAAGAGTTGAAGGCTATAGCATGTATGTGGCAAAGCTGGCTTTTAGGCAAATTGGGGCATTGGAGTTTATTTGTATAAAAAATATTTCATAATCTCTTTGTAATTGTGAATTACATTGTACACTATACTCTCTTGATTCCAAATTGAAAGTATTCCTCTCCTCCCCCCCCCCCCCCCCCC